TTGGGCCGACCCCTGGTGACAGAGCTGATATCTTAGCGACCCCATTCATAGGGAGGAACGGTGGCCGGGGTGGGAGAGGGAGGGTGGCGAATAAGGCACATCTGCAACGGTCTCACTGCGCATATGATCTATGAGCTGGCACAGACCGTACACAGCGTCCATTCACAAATCCTTCCCTGTGCGTCGTCAACTTTTGTAGTGGAGGTTCTCAATCCATGGCAGTAACTTCTTGTGACGTCTCAGAAAATCCTAGCCAAAAGAAAAACAGGAAAAATAGGGTTAGGGAATCAGAACGGTTTGCAGTATATCAGTATATGCACACGTAGGCCAAGCCTAACCAATGTACATTTAAAAATTATCTGAAAAACGCTTGAAGTTGTATACGCAGACACATGAAATGTATCAAAACAGATTTTTTCATATTGGGGGGGGGGCGACGACGACGACTACACAACAACGTAGCCACAGCATCTTCCAAAGTAGACAGTCTTGGACTGAATTCAGTGAATTCTTACTTCTCGATTCATGTTGGCCTATAGGCTAGTCTACAATAAACATTTGCATAACATTTTATTAGTCATTTAGCAGGCACATTGCAGGTCTGTAGAAATGTGACAGGTTTGGGTTGTATGCATGCATGGCCTTAAGGGTTATCAATATTTCCACCTACCCTGAAGGAGCACATTAATATATAAATGCATAACATCAATTTTACATAACCATAAATGAGTTATTGGCTAATATCATTTACATAAGCAACATTTCTTTCAGATTTTAACAAAATTAGATAGGATACAGCTAAATGTGAATGTTCATAATAACCTACGGATTGTCTTTTATTTTGCGTTAATATACAATAATCAGACTCAATTGATGTTATGAGTGACAAACTTCATTGGAAGTGTTTAACGAGGCTACACTTACAATCATAGGAAAAAGTGGCCTAGATTTATCAGGTTACTGAACGCATGAAAGCACAAGACTACTATACCCATAAGAGGCATAATTGACATGCCCTGGCTTTCGCTTTGCCGATTACCATCATTCTTTCTTTGCCAACTATTGCAATAGGGCCTCCTGTAGCTCAGTTGGTAGAGCATGGCGCTTGCAACGCCAGGGTTGTGGGTTCGATTCCCACGGGGGGGCAGTATGAAAATGTATGCACTCACTAACTTTAAGTCGCTCTGGATAAGAGCGTCTGCTAAATGTAAAATGTAGGTGTTTTAAATAATAAATCCCTTGGAATTCGTTGAAAATTGACTGCTTTGGGTAAATATCTGATTTCCTTCGTCGGGCCAGTGTCCATTCAGGGGAAGGTATAGGGTTGCTGTCAGGGCGCGATGTTTTGTCTGGGGGGATTAGACTGGTGCGGACGTGCGAATACCCAAGAAATCTTTAGTAAATCAAATACCGTTTGCAAACCAGGTGTGAGCTCTTCTGTTGCGGCATTGACCACCAGCAGACTAATAAGCTATATGCAATGTGCACAACACAAACAACAACAACAACATCACATGATAACCATAATGATGTCACATTCAGGCATAATAAAAATGTCAATGTGGCATACCCCTTTACGAATCTCACTACTTTTTAAAGGGGGCGTTATTGCCAAACTGACACAATGCTAAAGCATACATCTCATGTAGGCCTACCGTAGGCTACGAGAGATGGGTTACTATCTCAATCGTAAAACGAAATTATATGCACAATGCGTAAATGCATACCAGGGCATATTGCAGAGATAGGTAAAGACTGTCCTAAGAAGGTTGTGGCCAAATACACGTTTATTATCATGTTATAGGCCTATCTAAATGTATAACTTAGCCATGCATTTAATACAGAAAAAATAGACTAGGCCTATAGGCTACACGCATCCACATTGAATTAGTAACCATTCTTTACAAGAAAAAACTATAGGCTACAATTGCAAGCAATATAGGCCTACAACGAAAAACGGATTCTGGATCACGAAACTATGTTGGGATGATAAGACATCAAATGTAGCCTAACATTTTTTGTGACTTAATTTAACCTAACCTTTAGGCAACATAACCCAAATAACGGAAAATGTGCACCTTATAAAGGTAGAAAGAAAATGTGAGGTAGCCTCTATGTCAACATTTTAAGAAACGTCTGTTAACCGGGTGCAGGGTGACACACCACAAATAGACGAAGTCTACCAATTAAGGGATATACGATGCCATACTGTCCAATAGAATCAATAAAAAACAACCAATGTAGCCCTTCAATATTGACATGTATAGGCCTATAGGCTTATGCGGTCTATAAGAGCCTGCAAAACAAAACGCATAAAACTAAATCTATTCGATCTTTAATACCACCATATAGGCCTATTGAAGCACCTCATTAATAATTGGCTGTGGTCTGGTCTGTATGACTCTTGACTTGAAATCGTGTGGTTTCCTCCACGCCAGCCCTGTTTTGCTGTGGCTGACAGCGAGAGCAGCGAGAGGCGGAGGGGGTAGCGGGCCTGTCTGGCCACCATTGTCTCCTGCTCATTTATTAGTGCTCGGGATAATCTGGGTATCCCTCACAAGTGAGAAACAATCACAGCATGAGAGTGGACCTATCTAATTACAACCTTTACTCAGAACCTTCACTCCATCAGCTGGAGCGATAAAACCGACACTGCATGGCGGTTGTGGATGGTGCAAGGACTGCCACCGCTCCCAACCATGTAGGCTATTGTAAGTCAGGCACTGCTAGAAAATGGATGACGTATGGAGATTGCTCTATGGTGGAAATGTAAGAATTTATTAACAGAAACCACCAGGCTATTTGTCAAAATGACTATCGTACAAGTAGGCCTATGCGGGGTTCACATGATTTGGCCATTTTGCATGAGCCAATAGGCCTACACAATGTGGAAGAAAATGTGTAGGCCTATTCGAAATGCATTCTCTGTTGAGCTGACACGCTTCCATTTTAAACGTGTACATAAATGCAAACAAAAGAAATGCAATAGGTCGCACACAAAATAGGGCACAGTCAGCCGACTGGTTTTTGAAACAGTGAAATACTAGGCCATTTACCGCAGGACAATGCCTAAAAAGATGTGGCCTAGTTATAGGGTCTTAGTACACCAAAGAGGTACTGTCATTCTAAAACGCCCTCTTGGAGAGTAATTCCACCGTCCTCCCTAAACACTCTTGTTGGGAGTCCAAAATAAATAGTCCATGAACGTTCGGACGCATGAGTTGACCAATAATAATGACCTATCGTTTTGGGGAGACTGAGTTGAAATTATAGACCAACTTTTTCCTCTTAATTGTGAAATGCCACAAGTTTAACATTTATATGCTACCTAGCTACAAATAATTAAAATTATTACCGTGACAATAATTTACATCAGATAGGCTAATGCCCACTGGCCCAGGAGAGGTTGAAAACATTTCGACAATTCACAGTTATTTTTCACCTAAATTTGACTAATGCTATGGGTCCAATGCTAAATACAAGATAATCATCTAATGGTCATCACTCACTCATGCGCACCTTCAGCTATGCGGTTTTACGCACTGGGTAGCCAACATGACGTTTCAGATCAAATAGCAAATTAACTCAGGCGACTATTGCAAGGCACGCTCTGAATCCTGATTTAAGTGAAAACAGCCAAGGAGTTGGTCAGTAAAGTTTTTCCCAAGTTTTGTCTTTGGCGCGACTCTATATCATGTGCAACCATGAACACAACAGTTTGTTTGCGTAACATATATTTTTAAAGGGCTAGGGACCCATTTTTGCTTTGAACCTTTATATAATCATGAAAGGGCATATGAAGAGATGATAAGGAGTTGGAGATTGCATGACTGGCTAGGAGATTGCATGAATTGGCCATTAACGATGGGGCTTTAGAAACTCGGGATGGTCAATGCCCTGTCAATGTCATGATGCAAGCGAGACGAATCTGCAATATTAAATATCATAAATAACTCCTCAAAATGAAGAGCTCCATAAAGTAAAAGAGGTACACAATGTCCCAAATAAAAAACGCACCGAGTTAAAAAACAAAAACTTAAAACCCCCAAACCCAGTGTACATCAGCCTACTAATATGGATGAGCTTCAATGCGAGCTATACAGACTCCGGTATCCCCCCACCCAATTTTGGTTGCAGAGGCTATCCCTAATGTACCATAGTAGTTGGTTACAGCTTCGATACTAGGCTACTAGTTACATGCCCGAAACAAAATAGTTATAACATGCGGACTTCACACAGCAGGCAATTAACCGACTCTCCATATTTGCCCAATCTTACAATTTCATTTTTAGAATTAGTCTATTTCAATATAATACTTTTTATGGAAAGGCGTTTGACCATTTCCAGATTAAGCATGCATTACGCATGAATGGAAAACATTTACCTCCGACTACAACACAAAGTCACCAATATAATAGTAAATCAAACATAAGAGAAATTTAGGGTAGGTTTGTCGTTTTATTCCAGAACGCTTTTCCTTTAAAAAGGCGTTTGTCGATTATTCACGAGTCACTGTCACGTGGTAAACATTCTCCCAGTCTATTGGTCCAAGGCACGTGTCTAGGATAACGGCTGCAACGTCACTTGGGGGCTCGTATTGAAAATAAGAACAAAACTCCAGTGAGAGTATTTCAGGATCATTTAGAAGCCTCTATATTTACCCTTAGTTTAGTAATTGAAGCACTTGTATTGGATAGACTGAAAACGGATAGTACCAAATTGGATGGGCAAATGACAAATGGTGTCTATCCAGTGCAACAATATAGGATAGCCAAGCTTGGGAATATATGACCAAAACTATGTTTTTGTCTGTGGGCACTATCGCAAAGGGTTGCATGGTGTCCAGCACACTCAACAAGATTTGACGTTATTTTTTCTTTTTTTAAAACCTTTATTCAAACATTTGAAAAGCTCCGCGTCCCATAGAAGTGGATTGCGCTCATTTCGGCGCGGGAGAGCAATACAGGGGTTAAGGAAAGACAACTGGAAAGTGTATCAGTATGGAAGAAAATGATCATAGCAACAGAGATGCGGTGCGCCAAGGGTCGGCGGATGAGTCAAACAGAGTGATACTTCCCCTATTACAAGCGCCGGGCAACCTGCAGCAGATCCCGCATCGAGTCACCAATTTCTTTATCGATAATATCTTACGGCCGGACTTTGGGCGGAAAAAAGAAGGAAACACAAACCATGAAGAAAGTAGTCACGCTACCAGAGTGAACCATAGCCCGGCTGTTCCAAGAACGGAGCAAGTGGGGAGTACTGTGCCAACCGAGGGAACTTCCACTCCTCATCCAGGCGGCGTGGCCAAGAAGGCTGAAATAGCGACCGAAGCGCCCCTGAAACCCCGCGGAGAGAATGGAGATCAGTGCCTAAGCTCGGACTCGGATAGTTCTCAAGCCAGCTCAAATACACCATCCAAACCGCCTATGCTCTGGCCAGCTTGGGTGTACTGCACCAGATACTCGGACAGGCCCTCATCAGGTAGGCTACGATTATTTCCCCTCGTCTTTGTAACCTGAAATACCCCGACCCGTTGTAACACTGACCTCAAACGCCTTGACCGAGTTCTTCCAGGAAAGGAGGGCAAATTGTGTTCGCCTGTTTTAAATTGTGAAAAATGAAAATAGAACATTCTAACCTTGCAAAATCTTCAAAGTGTATCGGTGCAAACATAAGACTAATAATAAAAGCATAAGACCCGATAGCCTATCAATATTCAAGAACGCTAACTTATAGCCACGAGTTTGAATAAGGGCACAATTTCGAGACTAAACAAGCCGCTCAAAATAGCATCTTGCATTGCTTTAAAACTGAAATGTGCAAACGCAGGGGTATTGGAAGTCTACACATTAATGTTAAAAGCCTATAGTGTGCGGGATAAATAGTAATTTTTCGAATTTTGGAATAGCCTCCGACAATTTTGTTTTTTTCATGAGTATTTAAATTATAACCCCATAATACGAATATTATACCATCATTGCGATGGCTATTGCTTTGGGCTAGATCATAGCCAATTTAATACTAGGTTAGCCTACAACTATAGGTTACTATAAACATCGGCGCACATATCACCAAAACAATAAGTCTTTCAATTATTGAATAAAATAAAATACAATAGGTTTAAGGACTTTATATGGTACTTTTCCTCGACAATTCTGTAATGCAAATCCACTATTTTTGTTTATGCATGAGATTTCGCAATGGAGTTGCCTGGGTCTCTAAATATTTAGCATATTTAGCACATAAAACATGAACGTTTCCATCATTATTCTATATGCTACTTGTGTAAAAACTCGAATATTTGAATGCATTTTTATTTATTTCTAAAAATCGTATTGTACAAAATGTCCTCATGCATTATGTAACGTCGGTCGCATGGAGTAGACTACTATTCGATGGTATCCCCATGGGCTGCATATCTTAAAAAGTTGTACGTTGGTTTATCATCTCCAGCAAGCTCCAAATGTATTGAATAATCTCTTTGATTGTCATCCAGGCCTACTTGCCTAAACAGACGTCACCACTTTTTTTTTTAATCAAATAGTTGGGCTGACGATCTTGTAGGCCTACCACTCAAAACAATGAAATAAAACCATCAATGATGAGGTCAAAATTAATTTACTACTCAATTACAACCCATCATGTTTACCCACCAAAGTTCAAACTTGGAGTAATTAACAACAGCCAAAGACCGAATTCAGCAACCAATAGGCTACGATATAGGCCAATGTTTTCCACTAGACATCATCAAGCCAAAAGGCTATTAGCCTAACTGTATATAAAATGAAGAGTAGAATAGAAACAATTATTTACGAAAAATATATTTTTTATATTATTCAGTAAGTTGCATTTGAGATGGGCGTTCCAGTTGTGTTGATATATTTCAGGTCTACTCAGCATATCCTCCAATGACTATAACACGCTACTGAACCGACATGCCCCATCGGTATAGGCCTACCTACCATCTCTATATCTCCCAATGCATTGTTCTACGTAAAGAAGTGCGGAACTACGGTTAACGGTTACATTATTACATTATCAATATTCATCTTTATTCCTCACTATTTTGACAACTATTGTGTGATATGGTATGCGTTGAAATGATAAAAGAACACTCAAATTCTTATTTTTGCATTAAAAAGGGGCTTTCTAGAACTTCAAAGGGTTCTTCGGCTGTCCCCATAGGAGAACCCTTTGAATAATCATTTTTGGTTCCAAGTAGAACCCTTTTGGGTTCCAGGTAGAACCCTTTCCACAGTTCTACCTGGAACCAAAAAGGGTTCTCCTAAGGGGACAACCGAAGAACCCTTTTGGAACCTTTTTTTCTAAGATTGTATGAGTTATTGGCATACAGTGTAATAATAAATAAATAAGTAGGGGCTAAATTAATTAATTAATGTATGTATTACTACATAGTTGTAGTAACTGGAACACTTATATCCAATAGGCTACACCAAGCTTTCACATTTCCTATTTTGATTGCTTTAGCTAATAATAATACTTTTTCTAAAACACAGGACCGAGATCTCGAAAACCAAAGAAGAAAACCACCGCCAGCAAAGAGGACAAGCGACCAAGGACGGCCTTTACAGCTGAACAGCTACAAAGACTAAAAACCGAGTTTCAAACGAACCGGTATCTAACCGAACAAAGGAGACAGTCCCTGGCGCAAGAACTCGGCCTTAACGAATCTCAAATCAAAATCTGGTTCCAGAACAAAAGGGCAAAAATCAAGAAGGCTACCGGCGCAAAAAACACCCTAGCCTTGCACCTGATGGCACAGGGACTGTACAATCATGCTACGACGTCAAAAGATGACAAATCAGACAGCGATTGATTTCGAGAGATACAGATCAGTATATTTACAATGCAATAATTTCACCGAATAAAGGGCCAGTGTATAGAATATACCAGCATAAATTGATAAATATATAGAGATATTTCTGAAATATCATGTCTATTAAAATATGTTGTAAAAAGGTATGTTTTCAATCTCCTGTAACGTGTGTCGTTTTTCTTCCAGGAAAAGTATACATTCTTGTTATACACTTCATTTTATATTGCTATTCATTGTCATTTTTAACATTATATATCGCTTTTATCTGGCACTTGACGTTGAGATCTGTCAGTGAAGTGAAAAACAACCTGCTTAAGTCCAAAGAATATTTTCTGCTGCATCCAGGCAACTGTGAATCTTAATACATTTGCTGACAATATATTTTATTTCCATGGTTATTATGGTTTTATTGAGGTTTAGTGTAAAAAGGACATAGCAAGGGTTTTGAGTGTCAGTGATGTGCAGACTTAATTGAAAAGTAGATGGATTTTAATACTATTTTTGGAAAATTCGTATAACCACAGAAGTGATTGGGTAGCAATGTTTTGGTTAGCAGACATAATACATACATTGCTAGTAGGTAGGATGAACATTTAGTTTAGTCTCATAACTACATCTAAGCCAAGTTCATTTCCATGAAAAAAATGGTGTGTTCTGTGTTATATCAATGTACCAAGGCCTCTATAAATAGTTTTTGAAGAGCAATATAAATAATCTTTTGTAGCAAATTGTTTTGAATGATTATAATGCTTCCTATAACGTGAGAGACAACTCTGTAGCATTGTGACAATGATGACAAAACGTTTAACGCACTCTTGGCTGAAAGTATTATAGGCCTACTTGATCAAAAGTAGGCCCAAGGTATCCGGCGTAGGCTGTCAACTATACGTCCCATGGAGCTCTTTCTCTATATACATTTTATTTAATATACATATATATAATAAAAAAAACAGGCGAAACCGTTAGTGACTGTATAACAATTGTTGAAAATCTCTTTTATTGTTGTTGAAAGGATTTCATATGTGTATTTATATATATTATATTGAGGGGAAAAAAATCTATCCAATGAACGGTGTTGCTTTAGAGTAGATTTCTGAGGTGTTTACACTGCTTGTTTATCTTGCAATAACTTCTTTTTGAAAATGGTTTATGGGGCCTTTGCATGAAAGCTGCAATCTGTTGTACTTGGGCAAATAACTGTGTTTATAAACTTCGGTCTTTGTCGACGAGAGTATGATCAAGCTAAGTTTTAGACTATCCATACCAAATTGTGGACTTTTGCCTTTTGAATTGTTTTGTTGTGTATCTGCAAAAAGTGTGTGTGAATTACAATCCACCAAACTGAACACACTTTGCCTTAAAGTTCAAGCGAGAACTTTTTTATGAAACAGAACTGTGCCGAATCAGAGAAGCAGTATTACTTCAAAATGCAGACTATTTGATTCAAGATTATTGCCTTCATGAAACCTGCTGGTGTGACATATTGAATTTACTCATCAGCGAATATCTATCTATAGATGAATATGTTTAAATGAAATTACATTATAGAATGCTATTTTTATTTTATGTTCAAAGTATTCTTTGGTATAATGTACATAATTATCATGTATGTATTAATTGTGTAATTAACTGCCTCATGAAAAACTGGAAAAGAAAAGTCAATAAACCTTGAAGATCCACTTATCTAGCATCATCATTTTTCTATAATCCATAGTCCAGGATAACTGAACGCCTATGAGACATGGGCATTTCTATGCAAACACAGAAAGATCTGAAAGAAAACGTGACCCTCCATTGCCAAATAGGAGTGGAGCCCTGTAGATGACGTCACTGTTTTTGGCAACACCGCTGACCAAAGAGTCATTCGTAGTAACCTTTCGACCAAAAAGGTCAATGACAAAATGCCAAAAAAATCTAAAATGGAGTATATTTACATGATTTGAATGTGCCTACCATCTGTTGCTACTATTACTACCCCTGAGTGTTTAGGTCCAGCCCAGAAGGGTACATGAGTGGTGGCCTATTATTAGATGTAGTACCCAAACTGACACTCAGTTCTCAAGACCTTTGACTCTACAACGTTACCTTACCAATAAGACTACTAGATAAATACAAACAAACAATGACCAAAATATTGGTTTCATGTGACACAAGGCCTACAATAAAATAGAAATATCACAACAAAGCTGAATGCGTAAATGTCAACCTCTGCTTGTTCGAAACATTAGGAACACCTGCTCTTTCCATGACATAGACTGACCAGGTGAATCCAGGTGAAAGCTATGATCCGTTATTGGTCACCTGTTAAATCCACTTAAATTCAGTGTAGATGAAGGGGAGGAGACAGATTAAAGAAAGATTTTTAAGCCTTGAGACAACTGAGACATGGATTGGGTATGTGTGCCATTCAGAGGGTGAATGGGCAAGACAAAAGGTTCAAGTGCCATTGAACGGGGTATGGTAGTAGGTGCCATGCACACCGGTTTGAGTGTGTCAAGAACTGCAACGCTGCTGGGTTTTATACGCTCAACAGATTGTCGTGTGTATCAAGAATGGTCCACTACCCAAAGGACACCCAGCCAACTTGACACAACTGTGGGAAGCATTGGAGTCAACATGGGCCAGCATCCCTGTGGAATGCTTTCGACACGTTGTAGAAATTGAGGCTGTTCTGAGGGCAAAAGGAGGTGCAACTCAATATTAGGAAAGTGTTCCTAATGTTTTGTGCACTCAGTGTAAGTTCATTTTACATGTTAGTCATTTAGCAGACGCTCTTATCCAGAGCGACTTACAGTTAGTGAGTGCATACATTTTTCATACTGACCCCCTGTAGGAAATGAACCCACAACCCTGGCGTTGCAAGTGCCATGCTCTACCAACTGAGCTACAGGTTTTATGTTTTCTCATGAAAATTTTTGAAAAAAAGTGAATTTCATCCAATATCTTTACGTTCCCAGAGGTTTGTGTTGTCATCACATACAGTACCAGTCCAAAGTTTGGACACACCTACTCATTCAAGGGTTTTTCTTTATTTTTACTATTTACTACATTTTAGAATAATAGTGAAGACATCAGAACTATGAAATAACACATATGGAATCATGTAGTAACCAAAAAAGTGTTAAACAAATCAAAATATATTTTAGATTTTAGATTCTTCAAAGTAGCCACCTTTTGCATTGATGACAGCTTTGCACACTCATGGAATTCTCTCAACCAGCTTCACCTGGAATGCTTTTCCAACAGTCTTGAAGGAGTTCCCACATTTGCTGAGCACTTGTTGGCTGCTTTTCCTTCACTCTGCAGTCCAACTCATCCCAAACCATCTCAATTGGGTTGAGGTCGGGTGATTGTGGAGGCCAGGTCATCTGATGCAGCATTCCATCACTCTCCTTCTTGGTCAAATAGCCCTTACACAGCCTGGAGGTGTGTTGGGTCATTGTCCTGTTGAAAAACAAATAATAGTCCCACTAAGCCCAAACCAGATGGGATGGCGTATCGCTGCAGAATGCTGTGGTAGCCATGCTGGTTAAGTGTGCCTTGAATTCTAAATAAATCACTGACAGTGTCACCAGCAAAGCACCCCACATCATCACACCTCCTCCTCCATGCTTCACGGTTTAATGTCCATTGCTCGTGTTTCTTGGCCCAAGCAAGTCTCTTCTTCTTATTGGTGTCCTTTAGTAGTGGTTTCTTTGCAGCAATTCGACCACGAAGGCCTGATTCACACAGTCTCCTCTGAACAGTTGATGTTGAGATGTGTCTATTACTTGAACTCTGTGAAGCATTTATTTGGGCTGCAATTTCTGAGGCTTGTAACTCTAATGAACTTATTCTCTGCAGCAGGGGTAACTCTGGGTCTTCCTTTCCTGTGGCGGTCCTCATGCGAGCCAGTTTCATCATAGCGCTTGATGGTTTTTGCGACTGCACAAATTTTCCGGATTGACTGACCTTCATGTCTTAAAGTAATGATGGACTGTCATTTATTTCTCTTTGCTTATTTGAGATGTTCTTGCCATAATATGGACTTGGTCTTTTACCAAATAAGGCTATCTTCTGTATACCATCCTACCTTGTCACAACACAACTGATTGGCTCAAACGCATTAAGAAGGAAATAAATTCCACAAATTAACTTTTAACAAGGCACACCTGTTAATTGAAATGCATTCCAGGTGACTACCTCATGAAGCTGGTTGAGAGAATGCCAAGAGTGTGCAAAGCTGTCATCAAGGCAAAGGGTGGCTACTTCGAATAATCTTTGTTTAACACTTTTTTGGTTACTACATGATTCCATGTGTGTTATTTCATAGTTTTGATGTCTTCACTATTATTCTACAATGTAGAAAATAGTAAAAATAAAAAATAAAAAAAATAATTGGAATGAGTAGGTGTGTCCTAACTTTTGACTGGTACTGTAGGTTAGTCAATAAAGGTGACACAAACATACTCATTTAAAACACAGACATCACATTTTAGTACTTCTTCACTTTTATTATGATTAGAATAATCACAACATTACCCAAAAATAGAACATCACACGGATTCTAAACATTTGTAATGAAAATGAGCCAGCCTATGACTCAATTCAATCAAATTGGCCGAATATATAACCAAAACTGCTAGTGGACAATTCCTCCATTTGGACTGTTGGGGGATCATTTTGTTTCATGTCGTCCTTGACCCAAAAATATTGATATTGATCAAATATAAATAAGAAATGTTTTACATACTTCCAGATCTTCTATGAATTACCCAAATAGCATTTAGCAAAACTAATCGAGAAATACAAACCCACTGGGCACAGACGTCAATTCAACGTCTATTCCACGTTGGTTCAACGTCATTTCATTCAAATGATGTGGAAACAACGTTGATTCAACCAGTGTGTGCTCAGTGGGATTTTATGGCAGTTGTATAATTCCATATCTTACAAACCGTGTAGAGAACGTTTATCTGAAAGAGTACATCCAGCAAACTGTGACAAGTTACTGTTAATAA